ACGGCCCACCTGGACCCACCCACCTACCACCCTACCGAAACAATCAACCTGGCTCGGTAACTCGCGAAAAATGTACTTTTGTTCGTTTACCGAGAAATTAGTTCATTCGAACTGGAGGGGGTTTAGACGGACCCGGTCCAATCGGTGACATTTGACGGCCAAAACACCAATCATCTTGTCGGGGTTTCTACTGGAGTGCGATTGGTTGGATTCACTTGAAGTTACGGCGGATTCACTTGAATTTGAAAAGGTATAGACTCTCAATTACCACCGGGTTTGTTCGTTCTAAAGTTCGTCTAAAGTTCACACGATCCGCTGTCAAGGACATAACATACCCGGATGGGGTGGGGCAGGGCGATGAGGGACGAACAGTTAACCCCACCCCCATCGAAACCTTCATCCTCGCTTGGTAACACATTCAAAAAGTACTTTTGTTTGTCTTTGGAGAAAATAGGTCACCCCCCACTGGATGGGGTTTCGATAGACCCGGTCCAACCACTGAATTGTGACAGCAGAAGAACCGATCACGTTGTTGGGTTCCTGGTAGAATGTAATAAGTTGGATTCACTTGAAGTTGAACAGGTATATATAGGTTCAAGCGTGAATGTCTGTACGCGAACCACGCTAACTGTCATCTATCAAAGCCGCAGGAACAATCCAAGAGAGAACAAGTTTCCCAAGGGTTTCCATCATCGCAGAATTACAAACTATCAGGTAGTATTTTCCAGGTTAGTGTTTTGGGTATTCAGTTGTCAAGAGTCTTACCACTGGACAAAATATATTTGAAGATATTCTGTAGCTGGACCGCAACAGAACTCCTACAGTGCAACAGGACTACCAGCTCCGATTTCCCTTATTGTCCGTCACTGTGTGTAGACACAAGAACGTGCAACATCTAGTGGGACGACTAAGTGAAACATGCGGTTTATCACAACTCAGTCTCTGTGCATTGCTGTTTGATTTGATACCACGGCCACCGGCGCTCCCAAGGACGGTATCAATGTACACCATGTAGAGGAGACACAGCATTTCTCCTCCGATTAACATCACCATTGTCTCCGAGTTTATTTGCCAGTTAAGTCTGACGTGACAGAGGTTGCACCAAATTTTTCACTTGATCAATACTCTAAAAGTCTAAATAATTACATAATTCCTGATTGAATGAAATTTCGACAAGCTAATTGGTTTTTCTATACGGTTTGGAGAGAAAAGTTTGCTACCGGATGGACGCTAATGTAGGATATAAATCATTAATACTTGCTTGTGTGAAGCACTCAGACTTACGTGGGGCTCGACCGATTTCACGTAGCTCCCAAACGTGTCTGGGCAGAAATTGTTCAAAACAACTGGTAGCCAGTGCGATCACAGTCTGGACACAACGTTGTGCAGCAGCCGCACTCACTATCCCCGGTTTTCTCTCGTCGCGTTGAGTCATCCCCAAAGAGGGCGTCTGTGAACACATGGTCATCCCATCACGAAGCATTGATTCCATTTCGTCAGCAATTTCATTCCAACTGGGAGAGATTATTATTATTATTGTCAATATTATTAACACCATTACGTAATGCTATTAAACACAGGGTTTATGAATAAATTGGATTTATGTTAGATTTTCGTCAACGTTTATCAAAATCAAAATTTCCAGAGGAAAATGTGTGAATGTTCTGGATTACATCAATCGCAGATGAACAAATGGAAATTAAAAAGAAACGGTTTTGCAATCCATTTTCACAATAAAATATTTAATGGAAAAGATATTTGGTCGAAAGAATTTCGGTTTACACTAATTAGATGGACAAATGGCGCTTGCTTCACAGCAATCAGTTTATTATTCATTATGTACTGATATGGAATTTCATTCAACCATCCAACCACTCGCACAACAACATGGCACAAAACTCTTTTTTATTTGCAAGAAGGTCCGGTTTGGTCACATTACAACCCAGTATGCGCGTGTGAATACGTTATTCAGGGAATTTGGTCAAGTAAAGTAAAGTAGTCACTTTATACACCTCGAAGGGTGGATTATCTGCAACCATATAACCAGAGTGTGTCAAAAATTAAAACAATCGAAATGTAATACAGCAATTAAAAGAAATGAAACGCACAGCGATATTAAAAGCCAATGACATACTCGGGTGTTTATGATTGGTTTAGTTTAGCATGTTGTGCAGATTTTCTGCAAAGAGTTCATAGTTTATCAGAAATTTGGCGAGATGCGGTACAACAGACCGCCTGTAAGCTTCAGTGCGTGTCTTTATAAGTTTGTGGGTGGAGCGGGTGGATGAGCGAGCAAGACACTGACTACCAGTAGAATAAAGCACATGAAAAATATGAAATAAAATCTTATATGAGAATATTTTACAGGGCTTGAGGTAGCGTGCCACCGCATGTTGTACCAGATGTTCCCATGGTTTAAGACTCTATACCAACAGACACTTGAGCGATTGGGGAATGAGTTTGAGGTCCTTGTGGGTCGCGTTAGGGTACTCCATTGAGAATATCCGGACCAAACTTACCGATATATATAGGGATAAAAAGGGATATAGCTGAGTAATATAAAACGGTATGAACTGGTGCACCTAAAAGAAAATGCAATGATGTGTATGTAAGTCTCATGCTTTTACGAGCCAAATCAACGAGCAGTATCGAGGATTGGGTTTTCCCCGGGCCGGTATGCAGCCCAAATCAGAAAACACAGTGTATTTGGTGATAAAAATGTAAAAAAAACGATACAACGGGCAGCTTACTCGGATACATTCAACATGTAACGTTGGGGCACCGTCTGACACCATGAGCGCCACACATGCACCCAACTTAGTTGTTTGTTCACATCGGCATCGTCGGAGTCGTGAATCGAGCATACAGTGAATCGATGCACCAAACCCGGTGTCAGATCGGTCAAATGCGTCTTTTCCCACAGAACAGTACATTCTGTTACGAAAAAAACATACATCACCTCATTGGGTTAATAGTGACTGTACCTCGATATTAATGCTTGCGATAAAATGTGTGATTTCACTAAACAGGAAATAGATAAAACACATGAGACCCCCACGATCTCCAGTCTAGTCGAGGAATTCACACTACTGATGACATTCAAACAGGTTGAAACAACTATCCCTTGCTTCCTAGCATTTCATCTTGCACTTCATAGACAATTTCCACGTTAATAAATAGATAAATAATAAATTTCAACCAAAATTAGTTAGCAAATCAATGACAAGACCTGAAGAAAACACAAGTTGGATAAAATAAGCTCGAAGTGAATGGGTTTCCGTTAAATTGGTAGGGCTCGTGATGCGAGACGAATGAACGAAGTTCAGTTCACTTCAGTTCTAATTTTATAATCATTAACCAGGCATTTTCAGGTGACGGTTTTGGTTACTGTCTTTCGGCTACCCGGTTGGATATGATAGAAGAACGAAGACTGAAATGTTGTGGGCAGAGTCAAAGAGAAGATGGAGAATTAACATGGACTAAGGTTGCAAAGAAACTAGAATAGCTGAACGAGCGCCACTGTTTGTGATACCAAGTCATATCACACAGTGTCTCTAATCACCGGTCTCCATTATCTCAGGATCAGCAACCAGGAAGCCTAACCGGACCTATATGATCCAGTCCTGGGGTTAAGATGTTCATATCCTCACACCAGATCTTAGTTTGATCGCCCTTAAACTTTATCCATCCACCACCAACCTCCGCAAATATCGTGCGCAGAAGCAAATTATATGGTGATATGTGTAATTCATGTCAGAGACAACGTAATCTATTGAGAAGAACCACTAGCCCCCCTTGGGACGACAGCCACTACCTAAAACTCTGCACCTAACCTCAGCATTGCTTGTTCCGTTTCCCCACCAGAGTCGTGCATTACAGGGTATTCAGTGGTGTTCAAACACCGACAGTCTATCTTGACCCTGTTTTTTTGATGGCCAAGTTTATGTGACTTATAACAGAACTGGCCGAACTGCTGCAGCATACACTCGACAATTCATGATCAGCCCGATGTCGCGACGGCTTCACAGATGTCTAAAGTTGGTTAATACCAAACGAGCCTTTTGTATTCCAGGCAATACTTCATCCGTGATGCGCCCACCGTTGTAGCTGCCCAAATAACAAACTTGTTCAGTGACTTTACAACGTATTCAGCGAAAATGAGGTTTAGCGCGGAACAAGCCTTGTAATAACATTTTGTACTTCGTAGGAGCAAAACGTACATCCGATGTTCGCTCCACCAGCACTCAAGTTATCCAGAAAGCAGTAAATCAGATGAAAAACACTGCGAGAGGAATTCCTTTCGCATACTCGCATCGGTCGCCTACGTATAACATCGAACAAGATAGACAAGTGAAGCGAATTAAGAAATCTAGTTAGTATTACCCATGTGTGTGATTGTGTACAGTGTGTGATGCACATGATTGGTTACAGCCAGGGAAGGCCAAGGATAAAGGTCATACGTGTTTGAATGCACAGTGTGGGTTTGTTGTGAGCGATCGATAATGCCTCGAGTATCCCTAGTCGGTTTTTGTCTCGGTGACGTAACAAAACCGAGAACGCGTTCGTAAGGTTTACCCTGTGGCCGAATTCAAGGCAGCACGCCCCAACTTGAACTTCACCTATGAAGTGGAGAAGGCTAACTCGTTAACTTTCCTTGATGTCCTAATAACCCGTAAAAGTGACGGTTCTATCCAACGTTGTATCTTCAGCAAGAAGACTTGGTCCGGGCAGTTCCTTCACTTCAACAGTTTCTCACCAACAGAACACAAGAGAGCCCTAGTTCGAACACTGTTCCACTGACCCCTGACGCGATCTGATTGGAGCATATTCTGCGAGCTGCGAGGCCTAAAATCTCTCACCCTAAACGAGACTGTCTGATTACTGGCTTGTACTTTTTGTAATGCTCTTGTTGTTAAGTACAGTCCATTCGAGTGTTGATGACACTCCTGCCACACAGTCGAAGTTCACTGGGCCTGTTTGAGACTCTCGGCTGTAAAAAAGATATGGCTTCTCGCTCGGGTTAGCTGAGCAAGCACCAGGTCCTTTGTTGTGGCTGAACCATTCGATCGATCGATAAATCAACCCAATCGGTCGTGTGATTTTCGGGTCGGCGCAGAATGAGGATAGGTTCCGAGTCCGATGCAGCCTGTGTTGGTAGAGAATCACCCCATGAGAATCAGTTGTGGAGCGGTGCGCCATGTGGGAAATTCCGAATGGAAAATGCTTACGCGATTATGACACGGGGTCAACGCTTAACTCGTCTAAGATGCACGCACCATTTTCGAGCGGATTCAGTAAACAGATAACCATAATAAACTTCGAACTTGTCTTAATAACGGAAAACAATATCCCCTAATGTAGGCCCACGCAAAACCCTTCTTGATTTTTTCCAACTAGTTGTTTTTGGCACCGGTTCTCGAAACAATCGTTGCACGAGTGTCGTTGAATTCCTTCACCGTTGGTGAAAGTTTCTTCTTGTTCCTGTAGTATATCGCGATCAACGCCAAACGATCGTTGATCGACAGACGATGAGTACGTGAGCAAGCCATGATAACAACCAGTGTAATGACCGTCTGTTCTTAATCCTGTTCTTATATATACCACAATAAATTGTCGTTATCCCCAAGCAGAAATACATCACTCAAAAAGAGTAAGGGGTGGGTTAGACCCGGGGTACGGTTACCTTTTGTCAGTGACCTGTCTGAGTTGCGATTACCATTCAATCATTCGTACAGGCTTGTAAATGCCAATGATCCTGAAAAACGTAATGTCTATGTTGCTGTGCATGGGTATTGATACTATGAACAACACAATGAGAGGTCACCTGATCCACTTAACTTAATTCCTGATCTTCTAGTTTCTACGAGTGTATAGTCCGCATCTAGTCTTGAAATTCGAAAATTGAAAGTTTATACCATAAAGATATTTATATATGTATATGTGGTGGAAATGCTTGTGATAGCCAGAAAAGAGCACTGGGCAGCTGTTTCGTCTTAATTGGGAGCCATTCACACAAAGGTGATAATCGTCGAGCGTATGGATGAGGGTAAGGGTTTGAAGTCCCAACCCGAACGTTCGCGGTTCGAGTCCTGACAGGGAAATGCAAAAGCAACGCACTGCTGACAAGTCCCAAGCAGGACGAAACAGGTGTCCAGTGCGCTTTGTCGGTTATCACAAACATTTTCATCGCATTTAAGTACATGAAACTATGGGAAATTAACGATCTCCCAAGGAGCAGAATCCGCACCCTAGAACATCAAGGGTTTCTGGTGCATCTTATCAATCGAATGCGCTAATCCAAGCTTGCTACTATATATATATATTTGTATATATATACTGCATATTACTGCATTGATAATGTCACCTTGATTGGTGATGAAACGTTTGCAATACAATTGCCAAGCTCGGCGAACAACTAAACATCATAT